ACACACACACACACACACACACACACACGTATACATATATATATATATATATTGAACACATATAAAACCGACAGATTAAAAAAGTTGTAATGGAAGTTTGCAGAAACCTAATGCTATAGTTTTCTTAGGAAGAATGGTTCAGTACTATATTTACTAGAGCAACTTTTTGACATGTAACACCTCAAGAACTGACTATATTTCCAATCAGATCACTTTTTTAAAAAAGGAGAAAGCCCTATGCACTGGCATTACTCCCCCTACCCATGATAGTGTGTGATATAGTTCAGACTTGCCATAATTATGTAGTCTAGGTTGGCCTCAAACTTCCAGTGATTCTCCTACCTCAGCCTCCCAAGGGCTAAGATTACAGGCATGTGCTATAACACTCAGCTACACACTTTAATGTAGTACAGTTAGGGTCTGTTTGCTGACACAGTAGGTATTCACACAAGAAAAAGTTTGCTTCCAGTAAGATAACTAGTTAGTTGCTTCACTGTCCATGATTAGAAATTTACACACTATGCTGAAGGAAGGATGTTGTCCAGAAAAATTAAAATAAGAAAATATTTGGAATATTCGTAACAAAATTTTAAAGTAAAATTCCTTTGAGTACTGATAAATCTAGAAATCACCAAGCTTTGTTTTCAAGAAAAATGTCTTATAATTACTAACATTATTGAAAGTTTTATAAAATAAAAAAAGCATATGACTGATTAAAGTCCAACTTCTGGTGTTGGGAGGTGCTTTGAAAATTCTAGAAAAATCCTTCCCCTAATACCTTTTTTTTTGGTACTGGGGATTGAACTCATATTCCTGTGCTTACGAGGCAGGCAGCTGAACTGCTGAGCTAAATCCGAGGCCCCACTAATACCTACGATTGTATACATATATCTAAGTTTTCCAACTGGTAAAATAACAGTACCTAGGTAGATTTAAGACACTACCAAGTTTATTAAAGTACTGCTAAGTAAGAAAGCACAGTGGATCCATGAAAAACAAACTATTAGAGGTGGAGGGTGACCAAAAAAAGTCAATGAGAAAAGACTTTGGTACAAGAAGTGCCCAGGAATTTGTGCTGAGAAGAGAGATGAGATTACTATGAGATGTGGAAGAAATACCAAAGCTGCCACTGAAAATCCATCATGAATACATTATCTTTTTTTGTTTATTTTGGTATTAAGGATCAAACTCAGGACCTTGCGCTTATGAGGCAGGCAGTGGAACCAATGAGCTAAATCTCCGGCCCCCTGAATGCATTATCTTAACCTAAATAGTCAGATCCACAGGCCGGAGAGAAAGGAGCCCTATTAAACAGAAAAGAATCTGGTCCCACAGAAGCAACCATTAATTCTTTCATTGTAAAGTTGAAAATTAAAGGGAAGCCCTGATGCAGACAATGGACTTCGGGTGTTAGTGACAAGTCAATGAAGACTTATCAGTACCAACAAATGTCCAACTCTGGTGGGGGATGATTATGTCTGTATCTTCTCTTCAAACTGCTCTAAAAATGAACAACAAAAAAAAAATTTATTAAAAAGAATTTAGCCAGAGGCTAGAGATTTAGCTCAGTGGCACCCCACCTGCCTTTCAAGCACAAAGTCCTGAGTTCAATCCCTGGTACCCCAAAAAATTTTTTTCACTGGGTATGGTGACATATGCCTGTGAGAGCAGATACTAAGAAAGCTGAGCAGGAATTCTGCAAGTTGGAAGCCAGTCTGGATAACTTGGGGAGATCTTGTCTCAAAGATAAAATAAAAAGGGTGGGGAATGCAGCTCTCTGGAAGAGCATTTGCCTACCATGCATGAAGCCTTCCGTTCAAACCCCAGTACTACCACTACTGAACCTATACACACGCACACCTACACACAAAAATAAAAGGAAACTCGTCTTTCTAGTTACTTAACCTTTTTTAATTTTTTTAATCTTTTGAGAGGATCTTGCTATGCGGCCCAGGCTTTCCTTGTGGTGATCCTCTTGCCTTAGCCTCCCAAGTGCTGTGATTACAAGCATGTTCCCAGCTGTCTTCCCAGTTAGAACCATATTTCACAGCAATTAAATAGTCCTAATGATGGCAAGCTTTTAATAGAAGATGGTTAATTAAATAATTCTAATTAAACAAATGATTCAGGCAAGGATTGAAGATGTATGCCAAAACATTGAGGTTAAAGACTGATGAGGAACTGGGCACTGACACATTGCAAAAACACCTCCCACTGATTCTGTGCCACATGCAAGATGCAGATGTTTAACTACCATCTCCTTAATCAAGTGGCCAGACGATGTCAGAGACAGAACAGGCCATATGCTTTTTGATATGACACGATATAAAAAAAGGACCATGATCCTTAAAGAATTCCTGAAAAAAATGTTCAACTTGAATCTAATAAAGACCTTGATTCAAAATTCAAGGTTAAACAGCAGGCACAGTAGTATAGGCCTACAGCCCCAGAAGGTGAGGCAGAAGGATCATCTGAGCCCAAGAGTTTGAGGTAAGCCTGAGAACCAAATGAAAACCCGATCTCAAAACAAACAAACAAACAAACAAACAAAAGGACATTTTGGGAATAGATGGAGAAATCCAACAGAAAATATATGAAGTGAGATGAGGAGATGCACACCTATAACTTAGGAGGCTGAGGCACAAGGATCACCATGAGTTCCAGGCCAGCCTAGGCTACACAATGAGTTCAAGGTCAGGTGAACTATATAGCAAGACTCTGTCTTAAAAAAAAAAACACCAAAAACCAAAAACCAAAACTTTAGATAACATTAAGGCATTAATTAATTTTCTCAGAATAATGATATATACAAGGACTGGGGATTTGGCTCAGTGGTTCTGGCACCTGCTTTGAAAGTTCAAGGTCCCAAGTTCAATCGCCAGCACAAGGGTGGGGAGATACACATACACACACACACACACAAAATATAATTAGGAACTTTTTTCCCAAGAGAGGCATATCAAAGTGTCTAAATGTAAAGTGTCACAATATTTATAATTTACTATAAAATACTCAAGGGAGAAAATGAGAGCACGATAGACAAACACATCTATCTCCTTTTATATTTGAAGGAGATCAAAGAGTTTAAAAAGAGAACATTTTACAGGGTGAGGGGGAAGGTAAGCGCAGATTTAGGAAGTGAAACAAAAAAACACCAGTCTGAAATGACTGATGACTGTTTTAAGCTATATTTAGTAAAAACTAATGTGTAATTTGCCTGCTTGCTTCAGTGTGAGATAAACTAATGTTTTAAAAACACTAGCAGGACAGTTGGCTCACTGTGCTTTCTGCTGACAGTAGGGCCTTAGGATGAGAAACATAACAAACACAAATCATGGGAAAGCTCCCAGTCCCCAGCCTCCCAGTGAGGCTGACATAAGGTAAAGGAACTTATTCCTGCAGGGCATCTGGACTTAACCTTTCTCTGACTTACTGTAAGTCAGGGAAACATTTGATACTGAATTTTTAAAAACATATTTCTTATTACATTACCTGTTCTGGTTGCCTTTCTAAGACTTCAGCTTTTAACCAATTTTCAACTTCTTCAATTTTCTTTTTATGTACAGCAAGTTCATTCTAAGACAAAAATTTCAGGTTTAAAACAAAGCATTTTAACCGAATGATTTTTGATATACCAGCACCAACTACATTTAAACATTTTCAGTGAAGAAAATTGTAAGCAAGTAATATGCTATTATAGTAGGTCCTTTTGATTATATTTGATTTTTTGGGGATGTACCAGGGATCAAACTCAGGACCTTGCGCTTACCAGGCAGGCGCTGTGTTGCTGAGCTACAACCCTGGCACTATATTTGAACTCTTATATTAACAACTCCATCATTATGCTGAAATCACTATATGATTATTAGGGAAGTTTGTAATTATAAAATATTTTAAAACCCAGAAATAAAATTTTTTTTTGTACCAGGGATCGAACTTGGATCCTTGTGCTTGAGAGATAGCAGCAGAGCCACTGAACTAAATCCCCGGCCCAACCCAGAAATACATTTTAGGAAAGGGAGACGAATATTTAGCAGAAAGAGACAGGAAATCACTATATGATTATTAGGGAAGTTTGTAATTATAAAATATTTTAAAACCCAGAAATAAAATTTTTTTTTGTACCAGGGATCGAACTTGGATCCTTGCGCTTGAGAGATAGCAGCAGAGCCACTGAACTAAATCCCCGGCCCAACCCAGAAATACATTTTAGGAAAGGGAGACGAATATTTAGCAGAAAGAGACAGAAAGAAAGAAAGGGGGGGGAGAGAGAGAGAGAGAGAGAGAGAGAGAGAGAGAGAGAAATAGCAATTCTATAATGGGTTAAATTAAATCTAAGAGAAAAAACATAAGTTTCAACTTCTGAACACCAGTTGATAAAATGGTGAGCCTTAGAATATAAAAATATATAGAAACTTGTTTTTCAACTTCACTGAGAAAAATTCTTATATGTGAAAATAGACATTTCTCTCCTTCCCATTCACCCCAAGATTAAATTATGGGGACATATTTGTATGCCATTTAGTACCTGAGTTTCTGGTTTATATTTATCTACCCATGGTTCATTTTCAGACAAATATTCTTTGAAATTTTCTGGACCACATATCTGTTCTAAGGAAGACAGATTTCCTCTTTTTTTAGTTGGGGCTCTGCTGCTTTCTAATGTGGAAGGCACATTTTTCCTTCTGTGACTTGAGTTATTCACCCCTAAAGATGTGGCAGGAACAGCAGAGAAGGCTGTAGTTTCTGAAAAATCATCAAATGATGGATCTACCCAGTCTGTCACCTGAAAGAAGAAAACTACGTAAGTATTATTACATTTTTTTACATCAACTTTCTACATAACTGAACTATTCTGGAAACAAAATATTTACATATTTATAACATTAAAATATAAATCTTGTCAAGTATGGTGGCACATACCTAATCCTAGCACTCAGGAGGCTGAGGCAGGAAGATTGGCTTGACTGTAAGGCCAGACTAAGATATACGGTGAGAGCTTAACTCAAAAAACAAACAAAACAAAGTTGAAAAAAACAAATGAATCTTACAAATTGGCTCTTTACAAAAGACTGGCCCCTTGTGTTGCTCGTTTTTTTCTACCTTATAACTGTAGATGCATACTTTTCTACTTGACCATGGCAATGCATGCCATTGAACAAAAAGAGTATTTTTCATTAATTATAACCTTTCCTGGATAAAGAATAAGATTTTTTTTTAACTGTTGGTATAACTGAAGCATAAGACTTTGTGAAGAGAATGGTGAAGATTCCTAGGCCTCTAATTTATAATTATGACTACAGGATACCATTTTTTTTCAGCACAAAAAGCAATTAGTATTTCTTTAAATCAAGCAGCCTTTCCAGGGTGGATAGGATGTGCCACACAGAAAAGCACAGGAAAAAGAGTACTGGGATCATAGGACAAGAAATTCAGCAAGTTCTATTTCACATTCTTTGTATTTGTACAAAACTGCAGACCTCTCCACATTTCCCTCCATTATTTTCTTTTCTTTAAAATTCTTTGTCAGAACAAGCATGGGAACACACGCCTATAATCCTAGCACTCTTAGAAGCAGAGGCAGGAGGATTATGAGTTTCAGTGCAGCCTGGGCTACACAGTGCATTGGATACCAGCCTGGAACATGGTAAGACCAAATCTCAAAAAAAAAAAAAAAAAAATCCTTTGTAAGTGTATATGACGAAGTTTAATTGTGCAATTCTAACTTAAGGATATTTAAGAGCATTAAAAACATTTTCTTGATAATTAGAAAAACTTAAATTGATTTTTTAAACAATAGTATAAATCTAGGAAACCTAGCTTAGCACCCAGCTTTTGGATTTTCTTCCTGGATATCAAGGAGGAACAAAGATTAGTTCCCTTCAAGAATACTTCACTATAGGAGATGTGTAGGGTGATCTGGCTACGACATCTATCACCAGGGTTGATTTGGCTGATTTGGCTGGCCAGGCAGGTGTCCCTTTCCTCCTTCACCACTTCATGTGCGTCCCTCACAAAAGGTAAAAAAGAAGGACCACCCCTGCTACAGAAGGACCATTTCTTCATCTAGGGTATATGAGCAGCTGCAGTCCCCTGCTAGAACCTTCAAACAAGCTCTCCAGAATACTCCACTAGTCCCCGAATTCTTCATCTAGGGTATATGAGCAGCTGCAGTCCCCTGCTAGAACCTTCAAACAAGCTCTCCAGAATACTCCACTATAGTCCCCGAATGTAGCTCAGGGGTACAGCACGTGACTAAATGCACAGGCCTTGGCTGTAATTCCCAGCACCACCAAAAAGAAATAAATACAATGTGTTTTATATATGTATCTGAAAATGTCATAATGAAACCCATTACTTTGTACAATTAATAGGCACTAAAAATTTAATAAAAGAACACTTAGTTACAGTTGTGATTTATTAGATAATGTTCCTCTCAGGGAGGGAAAAAAAAGCTGAAAGTGAAAGTAGGCTCAGGAACAAGAAGTTAGAGCTTATTAAGATTTTTATGAATGCTGTCATATTTCAATAATTTTTTAAAGACAAGGTTAGAAATATTGGCAGTGGGTAAAGAGACTACTGAAAAAAATTCAATCATAGCTACCCAGTTTATTTCCTCTTCATCGAAAGATTGTCATAGGTACTATACTTTTGCCCTTCCGCTATGTTTGAGAGTACATGAAGCCGGGTGTGGTAGGATATGCCTGTAATTCCAGTGTTTGGGAAGCTGAGGCAGGAAGACTGGTGTTGGAGCCCTGCTTGGGCTAGATAAAAAATTCAAGGCCAGTCTGGACTACACCTCAAGACCTTCTCTCAAAATAGTATATGAAAATATTTTTGTTACAGTAAACCTTTTGAGGGTAACTTTGATTTGTATATTACTTATACATTTAATGGTTTTATTTCTTACATAAATGTTAACTCACATCTACTAAAAAAATAAGTGAAATAGTAAAGTTAAATAAGTTACTTAAAACTTAAAAAAAATAAATAAAGCCAACACTGGGAAATAGCTATCTTGTATGATACTGCATGACTTGTACCTTACTGAGAACTGTTAAACTGAACTACATCACTTCTAAGAGTTAAGGCTGTGTCAAGCTATAACACTAACTACCCCTCATATATCTTCCTCTTTTGTGTTCTTTAATTCTGGAGTTTCCAGCTTTTATCTTGTAACTGGGATGATCAAACACTTTTTCAAAATTAAGATTGTGGTTTTTAGTGTACAACTGTTTTACAATTTACTACCAGACTTGTTTAGATTATTAGTTATAATAGACACCTGGACAGAAGTGATAAGACATTAAGAACAGTAAAAAAATTTAATTATTTTTAGGGTATTGTAACATAACCATTTAAGGGTATCATACCTTCATGGAAGTTACCTTTGGTCTAAGAAAAGTTTTTGACATTATAAACTTTAACAGTTTCCATCCGTAATATACAACCTGTAATACATTAAAGTATAATTCACCTAGGGGAGAAAAAAAGAGAAACCACCTCAAATGAAGAAAAAGTTTAAATACAGAATTTTCACTAAACAGTTTACACTGATATAATCAATGCCATAATAAAAAAAGCTCAAGAACTTGTAAAAAAGAATAACAGGAGAACACACCAAAATGCTAAAATAAATTTTATTTTTAGTGACGGACTGTAACAAATAATCTACTTGTGGTGTTATAAATGAAAAAATGTTCACATGAACTCAGGAATAAGTTAATATTACCCAGGTGTGGGGATATATGCCTGTATTCCCAGCATGGGGGAGAGCTGACACAGAAGGATTCCCACAGCCCAAGGCCAGACTGGGCTACCTAGCCAGTTCAAAGTCAGCCTGAACTATACAGCAAGACTCTGCTAAGAAAAAAAAATATATGCCAGGTATTTGTGTACTTACTTTTTGTTTTCGGGTTTTTTTTTTTTGCTATCAGGGACTGAACTCAGGACCACGCACTTGTCAGGCAGCAGCTGAGCTAAATCCCCAGCCTGTGTACTTACTGTTTGTAATAAAGATTTAGACAATCCTATTTGAACAGTAAATTTGAAAAAATTATAGCCACAATGCAATAAATTCAGACTTATCACTTACTTTGTATAAAGAATTTAAATCCTATTGCAAATCTTTTCTTTAACTGTCTTCCTTAATTGAACATGTAATTAAAAATTTCTTGGCAACAATGTGTTCTTCAAGTTTCATAATTCTGAAATGATTCTGCAAACTAGTGAATTACATAATTTTAAATTAAGCAGAAGGAAAGTTTAAGTCAACAAACGTACAAACTGAAGGTGTACAGGACTATGACACAGTTTGGAGGCACGCACAGCCTGTATAGCAAACACACTAGAAAACAAATCATTACCTCTCCCCCCAAACATTTCGAGGATTAAAGAGACTATATGTTTCAAAAAGGTACACTGGTGCAAAAGAAAAATCTATTCGAGTAAATGCAGTTGGCAGGTCGAAATCCAAAAAAAAAAAAAAAAAAAAAATGTAGTCTGTTGTTACGGCCAAGACTCAGTTACTCTTTAAAAACAAGAATGGCAATACCTAGTTTAAAAAACAGGCAACTGTCTCCGATGACACCGGATTTCTGATGACAGAGGCAGAAGAGACCTTGAAGACTGTTTTCAGCGGACCCACCAACACCTCACATGGTATAAAATATACGGAGTCCTAAGCTCAGACATTCGTCCTGAATAATATCGCAATCACCGGTGAACAGCTCAGAGCTCACAGGTACCCTTATCCTTTTCAACCGCGGACGGGATGGGCGGGTCAGGAGGAAGAACGACGAGAGCCCGAGGAAGGCGTGAAGAAAGAGGGGGCCTTCCGTCTCTCGGACATACAATAAACGCAGCAGCAGCCGCGGCATACTTACCTTCCTGGAGCTGCATCCCCTCTGGGGCAGAGAGGAGCGGCGGAGCCCAGGCTCTGCTCCTGGCAGAGGGGCTGGCACTCAGGCCTCTACCGTTCAGCACCCAGCTCTCAGAGGGTCCGCCTCTTGGGGGCTTTCAAGATTGGCCGGCGCTTATGCGACGCAGCACGAAGGGAGGGGCCCCTGAGGAGGGAGTGCTTTATTTAGGTGCCCAACGCACTGCCTGATCATAGAGCGTTCCAGAATTGAGCTTCTGGGTCTGAATATACTTTAGACGCGCATTATAAAAGGCCAGGTAACCAAAGGCCGGTGGCTGGACTGCGGAGGTGGTCAGGAGCGCCGAGTAGCTCCTGGTCCTCGGGCTGTTGCAGTCGCCCGCCCCTTCCGGCTCCGCCCCGTAGTGTGCTGGGAGAGCGAGCTGTCCTTCCCGGGGCGCGGCCTGGGCGACTATGGTGCTCCCGAACATCCTGATTACCGGTTAGCGCACGGCCGGGCGGGTCAGGCGGGGTCGCCCAGTGCTCTGGGGCCTCGGACGCCGAGGTGGGGAGCCGCCGGGGTTCTGTCCGGGGCAGCGTGCGTGACAGTCGCCATGACTCGGGTCCGGCCCTCGCGACCCTGTCGGGAGGCGGGGTAGGGGACCCGAAACGGTGACTCCTCAGCCTGGCGCCTTGGCGAGGTGGAGACGAGCCCTGCTTCTCTTGCAAGCGGCTGAATCTTACTGGATCAGAGATTTTGCTTGTAAAATGGGCGGTTGACCGTGTCGGGGTGGGTTTGGGGTTTCTATCGAAGTGACTTAAGAGACCATCTGGCCCTTAGTAGATCTGTTAATGGTGGATGCCTCCCTGCTTAAGCCTTCTTCGGTCGTCTGTAATTTTCTTTTTTGCGTTTGCAAACAGTTCCCAGACCAGATTTCTGTAAAAGAGGTGGGGTGTTTGTGGCGTGATTAATCTACAAGTGTATATTTTTGTTGAGTCAGTATCAGAAGGCTTTTTTTTTTTTTTAATGTTAAGGCATCTGCTGAGCATTTCTCGACGTTTTTCATGAAGGAATGCTGTTAAGGTTTCGGGATAATTTGGGACTTTTCTGGTTTTTTTGGAGCCATTCTCAGCTTGCGTGTTATCAGTGAAGGAAACGAAAATATTGTACTGCATAAGGACCGTATTACTGCTGCTTATTTAGCTCTGAAAATAGTAACTTGTAGCAGTTAATAACATCATACACCCCTTTTGCAAACAACCTAATAGGTGTAGCTGCTGTCATAACAAATGAAGTTTCTTTGTGGAAACACAGTAACTTTTAAAAAATCACTTAACAAACAAAATTCTTAGCGAGACATGAGTCCTTTGCTGAGTGCTGCAGCTTAACTGCCCAACAATTAAATATTAAGCCTTTTAAGATTTCATACAGGAAAGAGTTTGAGCACCTGATAGGCAGGGTTAGACATAATGTTCTGTTTTTTTATTATTAATCCATATTAGAAAATCAAGAGTGAGTGTTTTATGGAAAACATGTTGAGTTCAGATCTAGCAAGTTCAAGGCCAACCCATACTAAATAGCAAAACTGTGTTTCAAAAAAAAGAGAAAAAAACATGAAAATAATTTTAGTGGTACTAAACCTGAAGAATTGAAAATTACATATTTGATTATGTATTTTAGAATAGTATTAGATATAAAAGGGAGAGACTAAAGAACAACATATTGCCATTACATAGAAGGGAATGTATATTCTTTGGGTGTGCACAATGGTATATATGTACACAAACACACGTACATAAGACTTATTTGGAAAATGTAAGAAACTGATTTACAGCACTTCCTTGTAGGGGAGAGAATAGGAGTTTTTCCTTTTTTTTTTAAAGACAGGATCTTGCTATGTAGTTAAGGTTGGCTTTGAACTCACTGTGTATCCCTGCCTGGCCTTAAACTTGTGGCAATCTCCTCCCATTCAGGCCCCTGAGTGTGGGATTACAGGGTACAGGCTTCCGTGCAACCATGCCTGGCTTAATTCTATAATCTTTTTTAATTAAAGCAAATAAATGATAATTGACTTGACATAGCTAATTTTAAATTACTTCTGGGCAGTTTCATGGTGATGACAAGCAGAACTGATAGCAAAATTGCCTGAGCCCCATCCCTTGGAAAATCAGATACTCTGAGTAGAGTCTAACCTCCAGTCATTCCTGGGAAATTTTGATTAAGACATAGTGTATATTCATATATGTTTGTTAATTGGGAAAATTTTCATACAGGTTGTTCAAAATCTTAAAAGCAAAAGGTGGCTGAAGTTCAATAAGTCATATTTCACAAACAGTATTTTTCTATGGCTTGTCTTAACAGGTACACCAGGAGTTGGAAAAACCACACTAGGCAAAGAGCTTGCATGCAGATCAGGACTGAAGTACATTAATGTGGGTGATGTAGCTCGAGAAGGTAAGTGGAGTACTAGTAGTAGTTGTGAGAGGGTACAAAATTGTTTCTAAAGAATTTATGCTGTGTTGGGGACTCACAGAAATGTGAAATAGCAAGGGTCCAGTGCTATGCCTTGGTCATTTTGACCACTTACCTTCCAACCCCCAAAATGGCTGTCTGTGAGCAGTAATGATTGGTCTTCAAATAGAATCTGAATACAAGGAAGAGAACATTTTGAGTTGGGTGGTACTAAGCATATATATGAGGTGGTATATTGATGTTACTGGAAGGACAGATTATTTGGAACTCAGGCAGTAGAATATGACTGTCCTATGGTGTTTTCTTAGGTTAGTTTGATAGTTGCATGCCCAGGTACAGATGCATACATTCTAAAGTGATATATTTTACTTTTTTGCTGTTTTCCTCTAATTTTTGTTCACTCACCAGTGTCTTTTACCTTTTTATATTTTATAATTAATACAGAGTAGGAACTCAGTACATTTAAGTAAAGGGAACTTTTAAGTATACCTCATTAAAAAGATGAGATATGTTAAAATTTCAAATACATTAAAAAATTTTAACATTTAAAAAGCATTTTAAGTTCCTAACAGTTGCTACTAAGGTGACTATTTCAGTTTGATCTAATGTACATATTTTTTTCAAACGATCGAAAGTCTGATCGTCGGCAGATATCATGGAGTCTGGCAAGATGGCTTCTCCCAAGAGCATGCCGAAAGATGCACAGATGATGGCACAAATCCTGAAGGATATGGGGATTACAGAATATGAGCCAAGAGTTATAAATCAGATGTTGGAGTTTGCCTTCCGATATGTAACCACAATTCTAGATGATGCTAAGATTTATTCAAGCCATGCCAAGAAAACCACTGTCGATGCAGATGACGTGCGACTGGCAATCCAGTGTCGAGCTGACCAGTCTTTTACCTCTCCTCCCCCGAGAGATTTTTTATTAGATATTGCGAGACAGAGAAACCAAACCCCTTTGCCACTGATCAAGCCATATTCAGGTCCTAGACTGCCACCTGATCGATACTGCTTAACAGCTCCAAACTACAGGCTCAAGTCTTTACAAAAAAAGACATCTACTTCTGCAGGAAGAATAACAGTTCCACGGTTGAGTGTTGGTTCAGTCACTAGCAGACCAAGTACCCCCACACTAGGCACACCAACCCCACAGGCCATGTCTGTTTCGGCCAAAGTAGGGGCTCCAGTGTCCCTCGCTGGGCAGAGGTTTACAGTGCAGATGCCTGCCTCCCAGGCCCCTGCTGTAAAAGCCTCCATTCCTGCAACTTCAGCAGTCCAGAATGTTCTGATTAATCCATCATTAATTGGGTCCAAAAACATCCTTATTACCACTAATATGGTGTCATCACAAAATACTGCCAATGAGTCATCAAATGCGTTGAAAAGAAAGCATGAAGATGATGACGATGACGATGATGATGATGACTATGATAATTTGTAATCTGCCTCGATGCATGTAACGTGTACTTGGTCTTGAATCCTTTGTATTGAGAGTTAGCATGCTGGATGTTTTCAAGTTCTGTTTTTGAAAATGTAAATATTTAATGAGTAAATTTAGACACTTCTTTTTCATTGAAATGTTGGGTTTTCTTTAATAGGAAACTAATGGTTTTCCATCAACCTTTATGTGTAAAAAATAAAGTTCTCATTCACCAGTTTGATTGTTGGTGCTTTGACAGTTAAATTTTTAAAAATTTCTCCCTCTTTATCACTGTGAGAAATAAGGAATGCAGTAATTGAAGTTTATGTAGTCTGTTCACTTGCAACTAGAATGTCATCTCTAGGGCCATCAGAGGTTTGGCTCATAACCTCTGATGTATAAGTTGCTCTTACAGTATCTTATCTCAGAGTGCTGAAATATAAGCAGGACTCCTCTTTGAAGAGACCACTTGGCAGAATTTTTATTCATAGTGAATTTTCACTTACTTAGATTTTATCTTCTAGAGTTGCCCAACTTCCTGAGTTCCAGGTTTTTTTGTTGTTGTTTTTTGTTTTCCTAGTACCAGGGATCAAACTTAGGACCTTGCTAAATTCCTGACCCTGAGTTCCAGTTTTTAAAAATCTTTTTGGTTATATTTAAATACTCATGGCTTCTCTCATTCCTCTTCCACTATTTAAGAAAGGTTCTTTTTTCCCCCCCAGTATCCTTTTTTGAAGTTCAGTTTTGAGATTTTTGGGTTTTGTTTGGGTTTTTTTGAGACAGAGTCTTGCTATATAGTTCATCCTGCTCTTGAACTCATGTATCCCAGGCTGGCCTCAAACTCATGGTGATCCTCCTGCCTCAGCCTCCTGAGCGCTAGGATTACAGGCATATGCCACCACACCCACTCAAATTTTATTTTTTTATGATGCTAAAAATCAAACAGCCTCATGCGTGCTAGACGTGCACCCTACCACTGAGCTACCCACTTAGCCCCTCAAGTTTTTCTTTTCAGTGGTAATATATTTTAAGGAAAATTAAGCAGTCCTTTATGAAGCATTATTTTCAACTGGAGATGATTTTTGTGATTATCGCGTCTGTGGAAGGAGGTAGTTAAGGTTTGCTACTTACACTGAGGTAGTAGAGGCCAGAGAGTCTGCTAAATAGCCTACAGTTTATAGGTCAGCCCTCTTGAGACAGTTACCTGGCGCAAAATACCAGGAGGATCTAGGTTCAGAAATCCTGCTATAAAAAATGAGGCTTATATCAATAACCTTGTCTCTCACCCCTACCCCCACCCCTAGAGTCAAGGGATTTCACACGGAGCTCCATCCCCAGTCCTATTATTTGAATTTTGAGGTAGGGTCTCCCTAAGTTGCTCAGGCAGGACTCAAACTTGCCATTACAGCATGTGCAGGCAACCTGATTTTAAAAGGAGTTTATTGGGCCCAGGATGCCTGCCTGGAAGTGCAAGGTTCTGAGTTGGATCCCCAGTACCGAGAAAGAAAAAGTTTATTGGCATCTTAATCATGTTAAATTGCTGTATAATTTGTTAAGATATCAGTCTTACCTGTATGGAACAAGGACAGGGAAAAAGGAAATTAAGCTTTGGAAAAACTATTTGGAGTTCTAAATGCGTGCTGCTGCCGCTCCCTCTTTTTCCTCTCCCCTGCTTCCCCCATCACCTTCCCCATCCTCTTGCCTTCCCTTCCTCCCTTTTCTCCCTCCTTTTTGTTTCTTCAGACTTCAAGGTCTTAACAGTGTTATCCAAGCAGATCTCAAACTCCTGGGCTCAGCCATTTCTTTTGCCTCAGCCTCTCAAGTATCAGGGATGGCTAAGAATCCTTAGCCTATTTTTCCAGTCTCAGATTCCTCCCTACTACCTTTCCCATATCCAGTTATTTTGGTCTGATTAGCATCCTTAGCTTTCTTGCCACCAGCCTATCAGTGTGCAACCTGTTCTTAACCGTGAAGTAGGCATACACTGGTCAAAGCAAAGTAACGCAGTGATGTTGGGTCCGTCTCAAATAGGGGTGTAAAACAGCCAGGTTCTTGTGTACATGTGCATGCTGTGCTGCTAAGCTACACTTGTATTTGTGCAGTGCTAACAGCTGAACCCAGGGCTTCACGTATGCTAATCAAGTGCTCTACCACTGAGCTACATCCCCATTCCTTTTATTTTTATTATTTATTTCTTTATTTCTTTATTTTTGTTTTTTTGAGACAGGGTTCAGACTGACCTGGAACTCACTGTGTAGCCCAGACTGGTACCGAACTCATAGCAATCCTCCTGCCTCAGCCTCCCAAGTACTGGGATTACAGGCATGCACCACCACACCTGGCTTCCCATTCCTTTTAAAGAATTTTTATTTTGACATGGTCTTACTAAGTTGCCCAGGCTAGCCTTTAAAACAGCTCAATTTCAGGTCAGCAATAGTGCATACCTATAATCCCAGTTTCTTAGGAAGCTGAGGCAGGAGTGCATGTTCAAGGCCAGCCTGGGCAACTTAGTGAGATGCTGTCTCACAAATAAAAAGGGCTTGGGGTGTGACTCAGTGGTTGTACCTGCCTAGCATATATGAGGCCCTGGTTTTGATCCCCAGTACTGCACCAAAACCAAAAAACAAATATCATAGTCCAATTTTAAGACACCCTCTAAACATGACCATCTAGTTAGTTAAGATATGCTCTGAAGTCATCCTTGACTCCACTTGCACACTCCTGGTTCCTTCCTGCACATACACGCTCACTCCATGCAGATCCACTGGGCCTCTAAATCATCCTAGTTTTTCTGAAACATCTGCATAGTATTCCCCTGTCATCTTCACAACCATTGTTACCATGTTAAATTTCCTACTAATCTCTTCACTGCTCCTGGGTGTGGTGGCACAGAGGTACTCTCCCAGCACTTGGGAGGCTGAGGCAGGAGAATTGCCAGAGGTACAAGTCTAGCTGGGCTGTACAGTGAGTTCAAGGCCAGCCTGAACTATATAGTGAGACCCTGTCTCCAAAAACAAACAAACAAACAAAAACATTCTTCAATATAGAATATAGCTGTCAATATATAAACTTAATTATTCCTTCGAAAAAGGTGAGGGGAGAGAATAACAGAATTTGAACTCTGACATAATCTGTATAAACTTACTACATTCTAGTCTTCATTCTTACAGCCACTCACCCTTATTTTCCACTGTGCACTGTACTCAAGATACACTGGGAATTTTGTTTTTCAGTACCTGGGGATTGAACTGAGGGCATTCACGCAGCCCCCTTTTTTAAGCAACAGAATTGAGGACAGGGTTTATCTCAGTGTACCAAGCCTGCCTCGCAAGTGCCAGGTCCTGAGTTTGTAAAAAAAAAAAAAAAAAAAAAAAAAAAATCGAATAATTTCCCCTACAGTAAGCAAAGCAAACATTATTCTTGGTATATCAAATTGAGTTCTAGGAATATAATAAAGTCTGCCTTGGAAATATAGTAAAAGACAACATATACCATGCATGTTTTAGGGTTTGTTTTTTTCTTAACTTTACATTAACATCTATTTATCTGATAGCAGCTGCTGCAGCCCATGTTTTAAATTTTTTGAGACAGGGCCAGAGATTTAGCTCAGTGGTGCTGCCACCTGCCTCCCAAATGCAAGATCCCAGGTTTGATCCCTGGTACCCCCCCAAAAAAAAATTCTTGGGCTGGGGATTTAGCTCAGTGGTTCTGCGTCCTGCCTTGCAATCACAGGGACTTGAGTTCGATCCCCAGTAACACCCCCCCCATAGAAAAAAAAACCATACCCAGAGAGAGAGAGGGAGAGACAGGATTTTGCTTTACTTGTACAATTAAGTATGCTTCAGCTTCCCACCCTGCTTGCCTCTGCTGTTCTTTGCCAGATGCCCCCTCTGCCTGTCTTGCCAGCAGCTTGAAGGCACAGTCAGATGTCATCTCCAGCTCTGACTCCTGTGGGCAGGATTAATCAGTTGCCCTTTCCTCTCCCTGACACTGCTCCAGCACAGGCTGTGAGCCTGCCTCACCTGCAGTAACTACCATCTCCTGAGGCTTCTAGACTTGGTTCTGTCCAACTCAGTCTCCACCCACAAACCAAAGTGGGGTTTTTTTGTTTGTTTTGTTACTGGGGATCCAACTCAGGTCCTTGCGCTTGTGAGGCAGGCGGTGGAACCACTGAGCCAAATCCCCAGCCCTCCAACATGGTTTTTTAAAAATTTGAAATTGAGCACATTTTACATCTAAAATGCTTTTGTGAACTTTGCCTTAGGATAAAGTCTCAGCTCCTTAATTTGGCTTTGAAGAGCTTTTTGCTCTGACCTCAGCTTACTTGATCCCTTTGCACCTATATATTTTCTAATTGTTCTGAAAGACTTTCCCTCCCTTGAAAAGGTGCACTGTCCCTGGGTTCTCTCTAACTCCGGTTATCCTGTTATCTCAGGTTGAAATAGTCTTTATCATGTTCCTTCCCCTAGCTCACTGCCTCAAGTTTTTCCTTAGAAGTCGCCTTGTCCAGGAAGCTTCCCCTAATAAGCTAAGCTTATGTTAGGTGTTCATCTTGCTGCTCCCATAATACCATTAGCTACGGCAATAAAATACAGTAAACTTCCCAGGTGAGTTGTCTGTTCACTCCCATTTTATTGTAAGCTCTTTCTTTTTTTAAACACTAGATAAAAACAGCCCAGGGATATTAGCTCAGTGTGAAGACCCTGGGTTCAATCCCCAGAACCACCAAAATAAATAAATAATAATGCTACAGATACCTACTTTATACGCCATATATATATATATATATATATATCAAACTTTTTTTTTTTTGGTACTGGGAATTGAACTCAGGTCCTTACACTTCCGAGGCAGGCCACCGAACCACTGAGCTAAATCCCCGGCTACACCATATAGATTTAAGTATATACATATAAGATTACAGTATAATCTTGAATAAATGCTTAAGTACTTACTATTACACGGTACAGTATCAGTTACAGATATTCTTAGATTTCATGGTACTATTAAAAAAAAAGTACAGCTGGCTCATTGCATCCAAAAAGTCCAATGTGAATCAGAAATATTTTTAAAAAGGAGCTAGTGAGGGCCAGGAATTTAGCTCAGTGGTTCTGCAGCCTGCTCCGCAAACGCAAGGTCACGAATTCGATCCCCAGTACTAAAAAACAAGCAAAAAAGGAGCTCGTGGGCCTAGAATGTAGCTCAGCAGCACGGTGCCTACCTGGCAAGTGCAAGGTTCTGAGTTTGATCCCCCGTACAAAAAAAGAACTGAGGCAATGGCACAGACTTATAATCCCAGCTACTTGGGGAGACTGAGACAGGAGGATCTCTTGAGTCTAGGAATTTGAGACCAGCCTGGCAACATAGCAAGATCTTGTTTCAAAAGAAAATACTAAAATTTTTCTTTTAATCTGTACTGAACATATATAGACATCTTTCCTTAAGCAATATAGTATAAGAACTAATTCCACAGCATTTATTTTTTTGAGATATTTTAGTAATCTAGAGGATGTTAGACTATATGCAGATATCACATCATTTATATAAGAGATTTCAGCACTAGGACATTTTGGAGCAATCTCCCATGGATACTAAAGTATGTTTAAAATAATACGTGAAAAAATACTTGAATCCTAAGTTTTATCTTGAGCTCAGGAGGCTGAAGCAGGAGGATTGCTGTGATTTCGAGACCAGCCTGGGCTACATAGTGAGTTCCAGGTCAGTCTCAACTACATAGTGAGACCCTGACTCAAAAAACAAAAAAAAAAGTTTGAGGCCACCCTAGGTAACTTAGCGAGACTCAGCTAAAAATAAAATTTAAAAAGTACCGAAGATTTTGCTTAGTGAGTGCAAGTCCTGGTTTAAATCCCCAGTATCACAGAGAAGTTTCAGATCTATTGCTGCCCAGGTTTATTTCCTTCTAGACATAATTTCTAGTATTTCTTTTTACATTTGATGTCCATGTAACATCTGTTATATTAGTGCCCTCTTTTACATTAAAAGAATCTCAGAATGATTGATAATATATTTCCTGAAGTGTACAATGAATTGAAAATTAGGAAAAGTTAACTTAGAAAACACTATTTTAATGAGCTAATGTAAATCTCTTTTAGGGGCATTATATAATGGCTATGATGACGAATATGAGTGTCCCATTTTAGATGAAGAAAAAGTAAGTATGACTTTGCATAAAATATGTATTTGTTGAATTTAATAGGAATGTTGACTTCAGTTTTCTTAGGAAATATCTTTGTTTTTTTTTTTTTAACCTTTCCTACAGGTGGTTGATGAGTTAGAGAACCAGATGGCGGAAGGTGGAGTTATTGTTGACTACCATGGTTGTGATTTCTTTCCTGAACGGTGGTTTCATGTAGTTTTTGTGTTGAGAACAGATAACAGTATATTGTACAAAAGACTTGAAACAAGGTAAGAGAAAACACTGAATCCTTAAAGTGTAACATAAACTTTTTTGTTTTGAGATTCCTGAAATTGACCAGTACTACCATGAAAAGGGGTTCTTTTGGAAATTGTGACTACTGTATTTGGTGTCCTGTTGTGAACCAAATCTATGAGGGCTGGGCATGGTGGAGCATGCCTGTAATCCCAGCTCAGGAGGCTGAGACTAGAGGATTGCCAGAGTTCAAGGTAAATTCATCATGGACTATATGAGATTTGCCTCAAAAAAACAAAATATAAAAATTAAAAATAAACCAAATCTATGTTGCGCTGTCATTCTGAAAGAAGACAGACTTGCACATTTATAAGACCCAGGCAAGTACTTTCTGAGTAAATTGAGTATCTCAGCTGACAATTGGATCCAGTAAAATATACTCTGTAGCACAGGTGGATGACCTATGACATGCATAATATTGTGTTTTTCTTTTTAAAACCAAAAATGTTAATATATGAGTTTTTTTTCTAAACTAAAACCTCAGTATTCAGGTTTAATTGTGGTGTTGGCACTTTGTGATAAGTAAGTGGGTTTTGGTTGCAATTTGGTCACTCATCTCTAAAAGGTTTGCCTTCATTGCTCTGTAGAAACCCCATTTAACCATGCTTTTTCTTTGATAAAAGGAAAAAAGGATTTTTCTTCCTAGAAAAAGAGCCAAGCCACTAACACTGTTTGCTTAAACATCACTATTAAGCCCGCATGAAGCCAGGCATGATGGTGCTTGCCTGTAATAGGGTGAGGCAGAAGGATTGCATGTTTAAGTCCTGCCTAGACAATTTAGTCAGACCCTGTCTCAAAAAATAAATAAATAAAAAGAGCTGGGGATGTAGTTCAGTACAAAGGCCTTGGGTTCAATCCCCAAATATTTTTTTTTCCTCATTGAGTTTATTGGTACCTTTTAAGTATACAGTACAGTTCCCAAATATTGTTTTGAAAAAAATTCCTCACAAGAGAAATGGAAAAACTAACAAAACAAAAAATTTCAATCTTTAAAATATCTTTAATTCAACCAATAGAGTATCAGATTGAACCAGAGAAACTTTTTTTTTTTTTTTTTTTTTGAGACAGGGTGTCGCTATGCAGTTTAGGCTGACTTTTAGCTCATTTTGTAGCCCAGGCTGGCCTAGTGCTTGGATTACAGTCATGTGCCACTACACCAGGGCAGAGAAACTATTTGTTTGTTTTGGTGGTGGTACTAGAACTCAGGACTTTCACTCTGAGCTACATCCCCAGTCCTTTTATTTTGAGACAGGTCTTACTAAGTTGATAAGTTGCCTAGGCTGGACTTGAACTCCTGCCTCAGCCTTACAAGTGCTGGGATTACAGGCATGGACCACAATGTACATCTCAGAAAAACAAAATTTTAGATAGAAGGTTTTTCCACTGTGCTTTGGGGGATTCTAGAGGGTTACTGGGCAGCCTCAAACAGCAGCTCCAGAATTTTGCCTGAGGTCAGGTGCAGAATGTACATTCTCACTGAGTACAGTCAGCTCTGACCACTGTTGAATGAGACACTTGTTAAATCTTGGGACAAACACTGTAGTGGCCGATCTATAGGGAAAGTGAGGTTGAGGCTAGACCTAAAACTTTAATCTTTTCTTTAGGCAGTGAAAAGTCATTAAAGTTTTTTATGTTGGGGCTAGGGTTGTAACTCAGTGGTAGAGCAAAACAGAGAGAGAATTTTTTTGTTTGAGTAAAGAAATGGTAGACCATATAGTACATATACTCTTTTTCATAAAGACAATTTAAAATTGTGATTTAAACACTATATTGGACTTAGCTCAGTGGAACTGCACCTGCCTCACGAGGGCCAGGTCCTGAGTAGATCCCTGGTAATGCCCCCTGCAAATACTTATGTAAATAGCTAAGAGCAAGGTATTTTTAAAAAATTGTAGGGGCCAGGGATTTAGCTCAGTGGTTCTACTGCCTGCCTCCAAGCACAAGGAACCAGTTTGATTCCTGGTACCCACCCACTCCAAATGCGAGAGGGTCTGGGGTGAAGGGAAGGCGGGGTCGGGAGGTGTGGTGTGGCCAGGGTGTGGTGCCTGGCCAAGCCTGGGACCTCCAGGAGCCCCGCCCAGCTGCTGCTGCCTGACCGGCCGGGGTCCCCTATCCTCCCCTGACGCACTCTCAGGCATTGAGAACTACAGCTTCCAGCATGCCACGAGCACGAAGGAGTTCAAAGGCAGAGGCGCTGAGGCGGGGGTCCCGGCCTCCTCTGCCCTGCGTGGCTCTCTACCCCGTCCCACCTCACGCTGAGAGCGGGACACAAGCCTTGGAGGGGACACAAGCCATGGAGGAGACGCCGCCCCTGCCACTGGGTTGCAACAAGCTGCACCTGGAGAAGCTGACCCTCGGCATCGCCCCAGTCCTAGAATATTCTCCAGGTGTGACAGAGGTGACCATCATAGAAGAGGCACCTGCTGAACGTCATATGATTTTTTCCTGGGAACAAAAAAATAATTATGACGCCTGAAGGTACGAAGAACTTTTGCCTGATGACGAATGGCTTCCACGTGACCTGGAGTGTGAAGCTAGATGAACTCTTCATTCTGCTGGGCAACATGGCAGTTAACTGCATCTCAAAGCTAGCTGAGCTCAACCAGTCTTCTGTGTATTCACTTCCTAATGCACCAACACTAGCAGACCTGGAGGGCACGTATGAAGCCAACAAGGACCAGCCAGAGAAGCCTCATTTTGACTCTCGAAGTGTGATATGAGCTGGATTTGTGAAATGGGAATGGGAAGGTTTGCCTTGTCTACAAAACTGGGAAACCAGCATTAGCACAAGACACTAAGATCTGGTTCCTGGACAGAGCATTACACTGGCGTTTTCTCAGATACTTTTACTGCCTGCTCATCGCCCACCTGGGCCTGCCCCAGGGGCAGTATGCCTTCACCAGCTATGGCATTAGCCGACTAGCCAAGCGGTGGGTAGTTCAGCTTGTATAAATAAGCACATCACATACAACACAGACCTGCTCACAGGAGAGACCAACTCCTTCATGAACAAGCTGGATCCAAGCAAAGTGTTCAAGACCAAGAAGAAAGGGCCTGTTCAGCCTGCAGGTGGCCAGAAAGTGCCCTCAGGTCCCTCTGCCTCTAAACCTTCATCTAGCTCTGCAAACCCTGTCCACAAATGAACAGTATCTCCTCCTCTCCACCAGCTCCACAGTAGTGATTTCCATGCACAGTTGGCCCCAGGGACACAACCTGATTATGTGTAATTTTAAGCATCTCCTGAGTGAACAAAGTCTTAGGCCTTTTAATCCCACTGACATTAGCTGGGAGTTGGAAGGGCCTATGTACTGAATTTAACTCAAGAGTCCTTCCCTTACACTCTTCCTAGTGGGTTGTTCCAGCCTGTGCCTCAAAAAGCTGTGGAGAATTTCAGATCTTAAGTGGCCAGAGAAATGTATCAAGAGCTTTTCTCTTTTTTCCACACTTGACTTTCAACCCCTTAGCAGTAATTGGAGGAGTCCCCTAAGGAAACCACTGGTTTTTGATTCAAGAAACATTGGAACTGCACAGTTGAGTACATAGCCAGTAGTCATATGTGGCTATTTAAATTACATTAAAAATTTATGTCCTTTTGGGCTGGGGATTTGACTCAGTGGTTCTGTTGCCTGCCTTGCAAGCGCAAGGACCCAAGTTCGATCCCCAGTACCAAAAAAAATTTATGTCCTCTGATAGGTGTAGGACTGATAAATGTAGAAGATTGCTCAGGAATTCTTACTCTTGATAAAGACTATAACAATAAAGAAAAGTTCTTAAGTAGAATTCTGGGCATGGAAGTGCATCAGCAGAATGAATTATTTCAGTATTTTGCGGACACATTTAATGCAGTTGCTCAGAATGCCAAAAAAATGGGTGATAAGACATGAGAATCCTAGATCTTAGTTCTGGAGATGAGAAGATGAGGAAAAACGATGTTAAGAAGTTCCTGACTCCAGGCTATTCAGCCTCTGGCCTTGTAGAGTTATACACCATCAGTGCAGAGAGGGGGATGTCCTGAGAGGAAGCAACCAAGATCTGGGCTGAGCTGACAGGACCTGATGATGGCTTCTGCTTGTCATTGCACATGAGGAACAACAAGAAAACTGCCATCTTAGTTAAAGAAGTAAACCTAAAAAGAAACTTTTCTTAGTTTATTGACCAAATACTGGGAAGCAGCTCAAATTAGAAATTTATGCTGATCTCAAAAAGAAGTATAAGAAGGTAGTCTCAGCTGATGCCCTTGTGCACTGGTTAGACCAGTACAATTCATCTGCAGATACTTGTACTCATGCTTATTGGTGTGGCAATTTCAAAAAAACAAGCTTGGGATTAGTCTGTGAGATTGGTCTTCGCTGCCGCACGTATTATGTCTTATGCAGCTCAGTCCTGAGTGTGTGGACAGAAGAGAAGGGTGTGCGTGCCTCTGTCAGCGGCACGAATGTGAAAATGCAGACAGTTTGGCTAAGGACAGAAGACAGACAATGGATTGTAGGCTTGATCATTCCGGCAAATTGTGTGTCTCCTCTGGTAAATCTCCTGTCAGCTTCGGACCAGTCTTGGCAGCTTGTGGTCCAGCAGAAACAGCTGTGGCAGCAGCATCACTCACAGCATCGCCAACTTGAACAATGCTTGAAGGACAAAGTGGTTTCAGCACAGGTGTGTCTGAGATGCTGTGGGAGCGTAACATTTGCATAAAAATTAGGGACAGTTTCCAAAGAATTATGTATTTTTTCAGTTGTGTTCTCTCGCTCATTTTTTGGGGAATAAGGACAAACCTGGAATAGATAGCAAAACTGAAAATCAGCAGTGCCAGCGGTAGTATATGTGCCTTTCCTTCCACCTCCTTGGGGCTTTCCGTACGCTTCTATTTGGATGAGCAGTGGGGGATACACGCACACATGGGCATATGTGTATGTGTGTGTGTGTATGTGCACGTGTGTGCATCAGTCTGTGCATTTGTTAAAGGCTACCCTTTTCTGTTACATGGCGCTCAGAGTTAATGCAGTACATTCATGTCATTGCTGGCAGAGCTATCCCCGGATGCATGTGTTGAGTCTATAAATATAGAAAATATGTATTGACTTCTTTTTCCAGCTTAAAGAATAGGTTTACTAAAAGCATGAAATGAAAGACTGCATATCATGCATTCAGGTTCTTTTGTAGTTTTCATTCTGACAGTGCATGTCTTTGAAAGCATGTGTAAACAAGGTTAATACAGAAGCCAAGTATTGGAGAGAAGATTTGTAGATATATAGCATTGGTTATTGCATTTTTATAGTGTTTATACCCGGGTATTGCTTCCAGCCCTGCAGACCCTTCCCCTTTCTCTTCCTCACCCCAGGTTTCTGTCAAGGTAATGAATACATACTTTTTTGTAATAAAACGCTTCAAAGTTAATTTTAATGTATTAATAGTATTCCTAACGTGCTGCAAAAATGGCTATAAGTCTGTTTTTCTTAAAAGTTACATTTTCCTTAACTTAAAGATAGTTTCAACCATACTTGAGTTGTAAACTAGAAATGAGGAAACACTTGAGGCTTCTGCTGTATGTTTTGTTGTTGTTGTTGTTGTTACCCAGTAACTTGAATATTGTTTCATGTGTTGTAAGACATTGTAGAGTTTTTCTGAAGCTGTTAAAAATGGTAATGTACAAATGTGAATAGACACTTATCTATATCATGGGTAAGTTTTTTTTCACATATACTAGACATTTATAAAAAAAAATTTATGGCCGGGCGTGGTGGCGCATGCCTGTAATTCCAGCACTTGGGAGGCTGAGGCAGGAGGATCGCTATGAGTTCGAGACCAGCCTGGGCTACACAGTGAGTTCCACGGTAGTATCAACTACATAGTGAGACCCTGTCTCAACCCCCCCAACCCCCCCCAAATTTATGTCCTCAATTGCCTTCACCACATTTCAAGAATTCACATGGCTAGGGCCAGGGATGTAGCCCAGTGGTGCTGCACCTTCCTGGCAAGCACAAGGTCTTGCGTTTGATCCCTGGTACCAGGGGGCAAAAAAAGAATTCATATGGCTAGCAGATTCCATATTGGACAGTACAGAGCTATGGAATGTTTCCATCATCACAGAAACTTACTTTGGACATCACTACTTTAGAATATTTTCATACTAATCTTCCTCAAATCAGTTTATTTTGGGGGTGGTACTGTGGATAGAACTCAGGACCTTGCACTTGCGAGGCAGGTGGCAGAACCACTGAGCTAAATCACTGCCTCCAAATCAGTTAGTTTTTGTTGTTAATGTCAATGCCTTAACTTCAGGAGTTTTAATGTTTCATGAAAACTTTGAATATATAATTGTATATTCTTTATATACTTTATCAGGAACATATCTTTCTCATTTTTTAGTTTCCTATGGACTCTTCCTCATCAAAAAAAAACAAAAAAACAAAACTGTACGGGAGCTAGTCATTAGTTTTGGTTTTGGGGCTGAGGATGTAGCTCAGTGGTGCTGCAAATGCCTGACAAACTCAAGGTCCTGAGTTCAATTCCCAGTACTGGAAAAAAAATTTTTTTTTTTTTTGTTCTTATCCATTGAAAAAAAATCACAAAGTTTATCACCTTTTTTATTAGAGGTTAAAGAGATTTTATTAAAGAGACTTTATTATTTCTGTGTACAGAAGGCTCAAGAGTACGTGTAGCCCAGTTAAGTGGCAAATTCTTTAGCCTTTGCCTTGTGAGCCACAGATGTGGAGCCCACAACATAGCCTGTCCAATGATGGCAGATGCCAGCATATCTGCCATGGCAGTGGGTCCTGACGGTTCCACCAGATGTTACTGCGATACAACTTGTATACCATGCACTTCACCCATTTGTGTTTAGTGTATTACAGAGTTGTGCAGTCATTCCTGCGATTTTAGAGAATGTTTATTACCTCAGAGAAAAACCTATACCCATTAACATCACCCAGCATTTCCTTAGGCTCCCAGGCCTGGGCACTCAATAATCTGCTTTCTTTTCTTCGGATTTGCCTATGCTAGACATTTCATAGAAATGAATACTATATGGTCTTTTGTGTCCTATCATAATGTTTTCAAAGTTCTATTTTTTTTAATTGGTAAAAGTGTTATTTTTAATCTATGAACATTTTGGGTTGTTTCCACTTTTGACTATTACAGATATTGCCGCTACCATATTACCCAGCAATTAAATTCCAAGGTATATTTAACAAGGAAAATAGATATAAAAATGTGCACTGATGTTCATAGCAGCAATATCTGTAACAGTCAAGAGTGGAAACAACCAAAACGTCTATAGATTAAAATAAGATTTTAATTTTTAATTTTTTTAACCAAAAAGCCATCAGATTGTAAAGTAACTGCAGCACTACATATGAATACTACTATATATAAGGGTTGCAGTTTTCCACATCCTTACCAGCCAGCACCAGTTGTTTGTGTTTAGGTTGTAGTCATATGTGGATATGAAGTAAGATTTCACTGTGATTTTGTTTTGCATTTCCTTGATAGCTAATAATGTTGATGTTACAGAAGGAATTGATAAATGACAGGTACAGAGAAGCAGGATGTAAGCAAAATAATAAAAAGTTTATTTTGCCAGCAAAGGTCAATCGCACTGAGCAATGCCAGTGATCCACCATGATTGGGTTGCAGATTCTTCTTTTACAGGTTTTACAGCTATGATCTCATTCAGGTGGTTACATTTCATTTCCTCAGTTCACATTACCCATGTACAAATTACAGTAAGAAGAATTAACTTTAACCCAGATGTAACAATTCCTTGTAGTTAGGGAATTTACCTTAAGATTCATCTAGCTATCCATTCTAGTGCACAGGAAGAGGGTGTTCAAGGTCAGGGATGAGGCCAGATGTCCCACTTCATGGTCAACACCTCTGGTGTCTGTTAATTTTGAACTAAACAAAGAAGATTGCTGTCAGAGACAACAGAAGTCAATTTTATATTTTCCTAACATTTTGTAGGTTTTTAGAATATTTACAAAAGTTCTCTGTATCATTGAGACCCAGCCTAGAGGCACAGGCCTGTGATCCCAGCATTCAGGAGCTGTGGCAGAAGGAGTGCCCCAAGTGCAAGGGCAGCCTGAGCTACACAGATCCTGTCTTAAAAAAAAACAAAAACACAAAAACCAAAAAACACACCAAAACCAAAAATAATGTAGAGTAGGGGCCGGGGATTTAGCTTAGTGGTTTGGTGGCCTACCTCACAAGCACAAGGACCCGAGTTCGATCCCCAGTACCAAAAAAAAAAAAAAAAAAAAAAAATTAAAAATAACGTAGAGCATATTTTCATGTGCGTATTGGCCATTTATGTATCTTTTTTTGCATGTCTCTGTTTGGATTCTTTACTCAGTTTTTTGTTGTTGTTTGGATTTTTGTAATGTTAAAGTTTGAACTGAGGTCTCAAGCAAATAGAAGCAAGTGTCCTGCCACTAATTTTTTTATTGTTACAACGTTTAACTGATTTGCAGGAGTTTTTTCTTTTTTTCTTTTTCTTTTTTAAGACAGGCTTTCACTATATTGCTAAGCTACCCACACTGGGCTCATACTTATGATCTACCTGCCTCAGCCTCCCAGAATGATGGAATGACAGGCATGCAGTAGCAAACCTAGACGGATGTGAATTTTTTTTATGGAAGAGACATTTATTTTGGCTTACCATTCAGTCCATACTTGGCTAGCTTCGGGGCCTGGATTTGAATTTTTAACTAGTTATTTAGCTAATTTACATATTTGCCTAAAGATTACAAAAGTTCATTTATCATACATAATTCATTTTATATATTCCATCTATTTTAATCTTATTTTAGAATCTAGAACCATTACTATACTCCTTTATTTATGTCATAGTTAATTTGTCTTGAGGTAGGTAGGTACCAGTTTGATAATAGGTAATTGAGTAGTTAACTGAGGGAAGAGAAAAACTTCAGATAAACCTAAATTTAGTCTCTAGTTCTTAGTTCAGCCTTTTTATCAAGGAAGTTTCTTACATTTACAGGTGCTAGTTTGGTTATGGGGATTTTTTGTTTGTTTTTGTTTTGTACCAGTGATTGAACTCTGGTCCTTGCACTTTCGAGGCTGGTGGTGGCGGCAGCACGCTGAGCCAAATCCCTGGCCCTGCTAGCTTGTTTTATGTAGGCAAAGAGATTGTGAGAAGTATTTAGGGGTGTTTTCTCTCTTTTTTTGAGACAGAGTTTTGCTAGATAGTCTAGGCTGGTCTTGAACATACTCACTGTGCAGCCCAGGCTGGTCTCATATTTGCAGCAATTCTCCTGCCACAGCCTCCTGAGTGCTGCAATTACAGGAGTGCACTACCATGCCCAGCAAGGGGTGATTGTGAGCTGGACATCATGATGCACACCTGTAAGCCCAGCATTATGGGAGGCTGAGGCAGGAGATCCAAAGTTTGAGCCCAGGATGGGCAGTTTAGCAACTCAGTGAGACTGTATCTGTCTAAAAATTAAAATAATAAAAGATTCTGAGGATGTAGCCCATTGCAAAGGCCCTGGCTTCAATCCTCAGTAGTGCTAAATAAATGGTCCAGTTTCTGGTATATTTCCAAAATCTAAAACTACAGTTAATATCATTGTTTATTTGTTTGCTTAACCTCTCTTTGCCTTCTAGGGGTTACAATGAAAAGAAACTAGGAGAAAATATCGAGTGTGAGATTTTTCAAGTTCTTTATGAAGAGGCCATGCTATCATACAAGGAAGATATTGTGCACCAGCTGCCCAGCAATACACCTGAAGAGCTAGAGGACAACATAAACCAGATCTTGAGATGGATCGAGCAGTGGGTCAAAAGTCATAGCCCGTGACTGGTCACTTGGTGTTGCCTCTCTGCCTACCTTGTAGACACTACCCCCAAGTATCTGTATAAACCCAAACTATGTGGAAGGCCCGGCAGGTATTTTTATGCCTGGGTTTCTTTTTCTCCTTGAGAAAGTTAAACAATCACAGATATAATGAATACAATAATTATTAAGCATTTGAAATACTCAGTTGCTAAACAATAAATCTGATAAAATGGGTGGTGTCTTTTAAGTTTATTATAGAAGAAAATGCAGTTGATCTCTTAAATGCTAAGGACAAATCAGAATATCCCTTATTTTTTCTTTCTGTAAAAAAGACATTAGAAAGGGCTGGGGATTTAGCTCAGTGGTTCTGCCACCTGCCTCACAAGCACAAGGTCCTGAGTTCAATCCCCAGTACCCAAAAAAAAAAAGACATTGGAAGTGGTAATACTTTGAAAAATTCAGAAGGTCCAAAGCAATACCCTAAAGGGTAGCTTTCCCTTCCTGAATCGAGAAAATAATGTCAGTGGTTTCCTGTTTATCTTTGCAGATATTTTACTGCCTAGAAAGCATGTAAGTATACATTTTTTAGAGTATGGTACCATATCATGCAAACTGTTCTCTTCTTTTTTCATTGAATATATTTGGAGACTATAGGTATAATCTCAGAAAATAGATTTTTTTTTAAATTGTCACACAACAAATTCACCATCTTAAGTATACAACCAGGCCAAGGGGTAGAGTGCTTAGAGGCTCTGAGTTAAATCCTCTGCACTCCCTAAAAGTGATGAAGTGTACAATTCACTACTTTTAGTATAGTCACAAGGTTATGCAGCAATTACCACTAATTCCATAACATTTTTGGCTCTCCCTAAAAAGAAATTCCATACCCTTAAGCAATCATTCCCTATTCTTCCCTCCTCCCAGCTGCTTACAGTCACTAATCTACATCCTGTCTCGATAGATTTGCATATTCTAGACCTCTAATTAAGTCATATAAATTATTCCTTTTTACGGCCAAATCATTTCTTTATATGGACATGCCACATTTTGTCCCTTCCACTGTTGCACCATTGGGTTGTATGTATCCTCTCTGGGTATTATAAAGTAGCATACTTCATAGCAGCATGCCGTGAACATTTGTGGATAAGTTTTTTTGATGTTTTCAGTTCTCTTGGGTATAATCTAGGAGGGGAATTCCTGGGTCACAGGGCAATTATGTTTAATGTATTTACAAGGTTATACAACCACCACCAGCCATGTCCCACTGCCTCTCTCCCCTTTTTATTTTGAGATGTTCACTATGTAGCTTGGGCCGGCCTCCAACATATAATGCTCCTACCTCCCTCAGCCTCCTGAGTGCTGGGATTACAGGCATGCACCACCACACTAGACCTCTCAACTTTTGAAGTTGGCCTTGCACAGACAGGCAGGCACTCTACCACTGAGCTGTATCACCAGCCGGTGTCTAACTTGAGATGCCAAACTTTCCCAGGTGGTTGCACCATATGTTCCCACTATCGATGTATTATGGACTCAGTTTCTCCACATATTTGCCAACATTAATTTTAACCATACTAGTGTGTCATGTATCACTTTTGTTTTAATTAACATTTCTTATTATTATTTTTTTTTATCAGTGGGAAAAAATCCCCAATGCTAGCAATTTAAAGGAGAGATTTATTTTGGTTCAGTTTCATTCTGTGGTTAGCTGGCTCAGAGGGGCATACTGAAGTAAAAACTGCTCAACGCGTGGTGGCCAGGAAACAGAGAAGGGACGACCTGGGACAAGAATGTGCACTTCCAAATCATACTCCCAGTGACTCACCTCTTCTGACCACATCCTCCTAACAGCACATGCCAAGTATAGCATTCCCACAAGCCGGTCAGCTTCTGCACACATGAGGCTTTGAGGAAACATTTTAGATCTAAACCATAATACCTAATGACCAATGATACTGAGTTTCTCTTTTTTTTCCTTTTGGACTTTTGAGATAAGGTCTTGCTTTGTAGCCCAGGCTGTACTCAAACTCACAGCACTCATCTTGCCTCAGCCTCCTGAGAGCTGTATTTTAGGTGTGTACCACACACCTGCTCTCTCTCTCTCTTTTTTTTTTTTAGTGGATTCTCACTGTTGTTCAGGCTGCTCTAGAACTTTGGATCTCAAGTGTTCCTTTGGCTTCAGCTTCCCTACTGATGGATATTTATGTTGTTTTCAGCTTTTTCTATCACAAACTAATTAAGAATAATGGGTAACATTTTATACTACTATACCATGCAGTTTTCTAAACACATTTCAAAAGTGAACTTAACCTTGGAGAAGCATTCAGTCACCAAAAGGTTTTTAAAATTTATTTATTTTTTTGAACTCAGGACCTTGTGCTTTCGAAGCAGATGCTGTGCCACTGAGCTATATCCTCGGCCCAAAGTTTTTATTTTTTTGACATTAGGGATGAACCAAAGGACCTGTGCATGCCAGGAAAGCACTCTGCCTTTGACTTGTCACTAGACAATGAGGGCCACCTTCAAGGAGATGGGGACATCAACACACCCTGCCATGTAAGTTTTTTTTTTTTTTTTTTTTTTTTTTTGAGACAGGGTCTCACTATGTAGTTGAGACTGACCCGGAACTCACCCTGGAACTCAATATGTAACCTAGGCTGGTCTCAAACTCGCAGCAATCTTCCTGCCTCAGCCTCCCAAGTGCTGGGATTATAGGTGTGCACCACCATGCCCGGCGCCTGCCATGTAAGTTCTTGACTCATCATGAAATAACAATTTCATGGAAAAAGTTTGCATCAATGAAAGGCATAGCAGAGTTGGAAAGGAAGAATATTAAAAGGACTGGCTTGAGCAGCTGGAGGGGGATCACTCTGATGAAGCAGTTCAAACTGGCCCACTCACAAAAGAGGTCAACTTTTATTTTTTTGGTACCGGGGATTGAACTCAGGTCCTTGATGCTTGCAAGGCACGCCACCGAACCGCTGAGCTAAATCCTTGGCCCTAAGAGGTCAACTTTTAACAAAGATTAGCTGAGGGAGGCCAGCGTCTGGTGGATCATTATCTCAGTTCTGGTTTCACAGCTCAAAAATTCCTTATCACTTTCAGGATAATCAGTTCCCATGAGGTAATTGTTCTTGCTTGGGAGGGGTGACATCATGGGGTGGTCTGTGAGGCTCTGCCTTTCCAGGAATCAGAGGTGACTGCAGGTTTGGAGATTTCTAGACATTGCTCCAGAAAGGTTTGGAATTGGACATTGTAAGAGCTGGCAATGGGATGTTTCTGCAAACTCTGAAATTAATTTGTTACTCTTATCTGTGTGTCCTTAGTCTTCAAGGGAATAAGATAGACTAGCTAAAATTCAGGGCTAATAAAACCTTATAATATAAATACTCGTTAAACAAGAAACGCCTGCATGTGGAGCTGAGCAGTGATCTGCCTCCAAAGTTTTAAGGTAATGAGCGACAAAACAAAACAAAACTTGCCTTGCCTTGTACCTATCTTTCTTTCTTCTGTCCAACTTCAAACCTACACTCGCAGCCCCTCAAATGAGCTCTTGAGTCCACATGGCCACTCTCTGAAGTAAGTTATTTTTATTACAGGTAGTGATAGAAGTTAGGTGACTTTCCTTTCACTAGATAATAAAAGCACTGTCAGGATTCCATTCTAAGTAGGCTCTTGCTGCTATTTCTGCTGAATGTACATGCAGTTTTATTCATGAGTGTCGCGAGCCGCGACGTCGGGGTCCTGCCAGCAGGCCCCAAACCTGAGAGGATTCACCGAGAGTAAACACACTGAGTCATGCTCAGATTCAGATTTCTTCTTTATTCTTCTTTTACTTCTACTTCTACTACTACTCTACTACTACTACTACTACTACTACTACTCTCTGCCAGATGGCTCTCACACTTAGGCAATAATATGAAAGTAAAAACAGCTTCAAGGATGAAAAACAATCTCAAGGATAACTGTACAAGGCCACAATTATGGCTCCACAGAATACACATGATTTACAAGAAGCAGGTGTTTTTTCTGGAAAGCGAAACTCAGCTAAATAATGCCATAAGATGGCAGCCGATCACGGCCAATCAGAACTTACAACATAGCAACTCCTTCGCTCAGGGAACTGCAATGCAAGCAGCCAGCTGTCTTGCAGGCAGTCTCCCACAATGAGCATGGTGAATAAATGCCCAGAAGATAAACTGTGTGTAAACCTAATTAACATTGAGTTGACTTTTTATTCAGACAATGGCTCTTTTGACCCAGTGATGACAGAAACAAGACAAGACTGGTCCAAATATTCCAAGTGTGCACACACGTTTTTGCTTCCCCCTAGGAGTCGGAAACGGGTTCAGAGATTGACTAAGCAGCTGCACTCAGAACGAAGAGGGCAGCAGGTTTTTACTGATTTGTGGGGCTGACTAATCTGGTAATTTCCACTGGCCAGATGCATGGTTCCACCAAGTGTTTCTTCTTGTGACACTTGGGCCACCAGGTGATAACTGTCAACTCATCCTAGAGCATGCTGAATTTTCATGTATCTGGCACCTTCATCCTGTGAAAAACATCCTGGCCTCATGGGTCTGAGTGCTGTAATAAGGCTGAATGACTTCAGGTGGTTGGACTTTGGGGTCTTATGAAAAAAGCAGAAGGGTGGGGGCCCAGAAAAAGGAGAGGAGAGAAAAGAACTTAGCAGCTCCAAGTTAACTCTGCACTGTAGTCTTGAACAAAGCATTTTTCAAACGATTAACATATCTACGTGTAGAGCTGAGCAGAATCTCACCCGTGTTGAGACAGCAAAGGAGACATACATATTATGAAGACATGCCAAGCCTTCCACCCCACTTTAGTCCCCCATGAGACATCTTTGAAAAAGCCTTCAGCTTTCTGGGAAGTAGTGCACGCAACTGGTATCGTAATACACGTCAGAGGAGTTATCTATAGGAAAGCTACTGTGAAACCAATCATGTATTGCCCAGCTGTGACCTCCAAAATTACTGATTTTAAGTTTACTAAGAGCAAGCTTTTCCTCCCGTAGCAAAAATGTCTCGTTTCATACAAACATTCTGCTTCTGTGGTTTCGTCAGGGTCTTCATGATGTGTCCAAGGCTGAAAGTAGCTGCTGATCCATATCTCACATTAGGAGATTCCCTTAAAAAACTAGTAAGAAGTAAAAGAAGCCATACTCATAACCCAATAGAAAATTCCCAGGCCCTAGGGCACCCCAGTGAGGCCCTAAAAGCCAGACTCATTGAAAGGGTTCTAGAGACGCCGCACACACACACCCCAACCCCAGAGGTCCGACAGGTGACTTTATTCAGGAAGCAGGAGCAAAGAGGGAGAAGGGGCAGAAGAAAGAACAAAGAAGGGAAGGTCCTTTTATTATCTTTGGGCTAAGCTATTGATTATTAATGAGGGGTGAGCTGCTTCTAACCTATCACAGGCCAGGTTGCCTTTTATGGGTCCAGCCCTACAGACACAGGTTTCATCTTCTCTGGACCACTGTGGCCTTGGGGGGGTGGGAAACCAGAGATAAGGGCTTGAGGTCATTTTAGGAGCCAAGAGGTACCAGAATGCAGCCTGTGATGACGGCGTCACAGCATACCTTAACATAATCAGTTCCTAACACTCATTTTCTGAGAACGGGCAGTCAGAGCTCAGGGCTGTGCCCATCACCCCACCCTCAGGTCCTCCAGCTAAAGCTCCTTCTCTATTCCCTCCGTACGCCGCCAGGGAGGATTCGCTGGTAGACTCCGGACGTGGCTTCCTAGCTGTCACTAAAGTGTGTCCCAAGAGACGGTGCTTGAGTTGCCCCTGGCCCCGCATCCGCGCTCAGCGTCGTCTTCCAATCTCTATCTGAGAACATCACTCCTACTTCGGTTACCCACAGCTGCCTCCGCGGCTGCGACCTGCGAACGCCAGGCGCCCCGCTATCAGCGGCACTGACGCCGCGCTTGCGTGCGCGTTCACGGGGCCTGCGGATGCGCGACCTGGAGCTTC